TGTTTTTATGACGTCACAAACTAGTCCGATTTTATATTATTTTTCTAGAAAGAGGACAAAATGGACAAAATTTCAACAATTTTAGCTTTAGAATTTATACAGCGCAAGTTTGCTCAGGAACTATATTTACATATTTCATTAATATTATCATTCTACACATTATATCAAAATATTGAACCTGATCAGACCTGCGCTCGGTGATTTTTACTCAAAATATCGACGTAATACATACATTTTTCTGTAGAAATCATGGAAATTTTAAATTTACGTCATTTTCCTGACGTCATTTCAAACATATGACGTCATTACTTATGAAAATATTCAGTGCTTTGAAGTCAGCATATATCACCCTGTTTAAGAAAATAATTAAATATCTCTCCGTCAAAGTTTGATTTTTGGGGCAAATATTGGTTATTACCGAATAAAGTTCTTTCATTTTAGACCTTGGTGACTGCATAACAATTAGAAATGACGTAATTTTTTCTCTAGTCTATGTATTATGACGACATGAATTGCATCATTTCCCCAAAATCTTGAAAATTTCTTTAAAAATGGCCAAAAATGGAAGCTGTTTTAGAATATTTTACATAGCCCCAAACCTCTGATCTAAAATGTTTAAATATATTAATGAAAGAACTGTTTCAGAGGATTATTATTCATGAAAAACTTTCTGGATCGCAGGGTGGGCTCATATTTTAATCATGAGTAGAAAATGCTTAAATTCACTTTCTTCAAAATTCAAGAACATTTTCGTTTTACAAAGCCTGTTTTTCTTTTTCTTTTCTTTTTTTTTCATTTATTTATATAAATACAGTATTATACAATGCATTGTATACAAAGATTATTTTTTAACAGCAAACATAGTTTTAAATATTGCAAAACTGAAAATTTTTAAAATCTTATGCATAATAGCAGAGACGCAAACATCTGTGATCATTTTGTACATAATAAACTGTTGTAAATATATAAATATCATTGTTTTGTATGTTCAATTTCAGTACCAAAATGAAGAACAAATAGTGAAATCAAACAATGACAGAAAAATAAATCAAAGCAAATTACAGACAGACATTTTTCGCATGTTTCTGTTAATATTTGATATAATACCATTGTGGCAACGCACTTTGAAAAAATTACGCACTTTGAAAAATTTTTTCAAAGTGCGTAATTTTTGGGACAAAATCAACGCACTTTGAAAATTTTTTTCAAAGTGCGTTGAATTTGGGACCAACTCAACGCACTTTGAAAAAATTTTTCAAAGTGCGTTAAGAGTCTACATCAATATATTTTACCATGGAGACACTTAACGCACTTTGAAAAAAAATCATATTTTAGTCATGGAAAGATTTTATTTGTTATTTATCTTTCAAAAGACTAAGCCTAATCCTAACCTCAAAAATGAGGGGTTGATCTACTCCCGTCGAGAAGAGGAGAAGACGGGTATAAACTTATCCCTCAAAGTTTTTGTAAATCTTTATCTTTCCAATACATAGGTGTCGGTAACAAACCAGGGAGGGGAGCAATAAACCTAAAAAGGGTACTCTGCATTTTCAATGCTTATACGACTTATTCCAAAATAAGTGAGAGGCTTAGCCCCCATCCCCTCTCCTGGCCCTTCACCCAGTCTCGATGGCTATGATATACTCAAAGCATTCATATAATTATGTATTTACCTTACTGGTATGACGTTGAAAACTTTCAATAATAAATGAGTTAATTAAAACAGATGAAAACAAGAAATTTTTAAGTACAGTAAAACGTATGAGAGAGGAAGAATTTTCATAGTTTTGAACAATCAAATTGTCCCCTTTTTATTATGATGAATGTTAAATTGCTTGAAACTGTCTCAGTTAGTGCCCCCTATACACCTTTACATCTACTTATCAAAGACTAGAATTTAAAATAAAGGAAGAGGAAACGAATTAGTGAACTTAAACAATCGTCACTCTTTTTTTCAAGACCCTTTAATTTTCCCTTTTATTTTATCAAAACCTTAAATATTTAAAACGTCAATATCTCAGGTGCTACAGTGACTTTATCATAAAAAAGTTATGTTATTTATCATACCGATTATTTGAAGGAATATTGATCAATCTTTACATTTTTTTCAAAGTGCGTTAATATGGTCGATATTAACGCACTTTGAAAAAAAATTTTTTTTTCAAAGTGCGTTAGCTTGGTCCCAAATTTTAACGCACTTTGAAAAATTTTTTCAAAGCGCGTAATTTTTCAAAGTGCGTTGTAACATACCATGTATATTTGTATTTATGACCCTTGTTGCAGTGGAACTTTGTATTAAAAAAAAATTAAAGTCCATCAAATCCCACTGCTACTTGTACTGAGGGTCAGGTCACCCTCCAGTACGGGTCCTTCATTTACAAGTGTGAGGAAAAAAATTACAACGGTATTTCAGATAAGAAAAGAAATTTACATTTTGTTTTTACATGTATGTTTTAATCATTCATAAAGAAATATAAAAGAGGATTATGAAAAGATATTCATTATAACAAGAAGTGGTTATCAACATCCTATCGTATTATAACAGGCTTACTTACACATGTGATAATTTGGCATTTGGTCAAGAGTTAGTTTCTATAAACTTAATTGTTCGTTTAAAAAGTTTTTGTAAATTATCTTTTTTATTATCTCCCTTTAGTTGGCAGTTTGGAGAGTCGTATAAATGTAAAGACAAATTGGATTTGATTTCATATTTTAAGGCAGCGTTTATACTTAAATAATATACTTTTACATTTTCATATTTAAGTTTGTTTCTCGTTTTCAATATAACCCACTTATAAATGTATATTAAAGTGTTAATAAATATTTTTGAGCTTTGTGGTTCTTTAAAAATAGCCTAAAATTATTGTTCGTTATCGGCATATTCATGAATATGGGCTACATCTAGGCTATATATTTTATTCATATATGATCTCTTAGCAGTATTCATGAATTAGTGCATCGGTGTCGGTGCCAAAGGTGCTAAAATATGAAGCTCTCTTTTTAAGTATCCATACTCTTCTCTGAAGTTAAGGTTATGCTATTTTCAGTATGTTTAATTTGGTGTTTTTTTTATTACAGTCAGTAACATTTCATACTCTCTATACACAGGTATTGACAGTTCTTTGTTGATCACGTTTTGTCCTGGAGTGTCAGACATGCAGGTGCCCTCTGCTGCCAATAAGCATGCTGAGGCTATATCACCATGCTTCCTTCCGCTGCTAGAGAAGGAGAATGCTGTACATAATGCAGCTAGCCTGATTGAGTACAAAGCCTATTTTTCAATACTTGGACTATCAGATGAAAATATTTTATAGGAAATGAAAGTACTAAGTCTCTGTTTTATTTTGAGTTTAAAGTGCATGGGACAGGTCGTTTATTTCGTATATGGACAGGGCAACTTTATGGTGTTTGTAAATACGTATATATCAAGTTTTGGACGTTTTAAATATTCAACATGAATAAACATGATTTCTTAAAGGAGAAGTAAAATAGTCTCTGATTTCGACTTGAAATTTTTTAGTGTTCATTATCCATCTCCCCTTAATTGTATTGTTATATTGAGTACCGGGTACTACTATTCTTTATCAAAATATATTACTCTTAAATGGATTATATGATTTATTTAATCGCTGTGTATATATATTTAGAAAACATAATTATAAAACACTTAATCATACATAAAATTGATCAGAATAAAAACGGTATGATAAACGTGATAATCTTAATTTTTCTTTCGTCAAACTTCATTACTAGCTGCAGTGTGGCTTATCTCTCCCAGTTGATTCGATACGCAGGTTCATGTTCCACATATAGGATCAATTTATAAAACGATAAAAGCTATTTACCAACAAGTTTATGAAAAAAGGATATCAACGGTCTCATTTAAAGTCACCCTTCAGCATACCCTATTGCGATACAATGACTTCATTAGACAATAGATTTATCATTATGACAAAACTGACTGAAAATTTTCATTTTAATTGTTTGGTCATTATTTAAACACTGGATTGTCTACAGAATCTTCCATTCATAAGATAATAACAAAGATTCTGACAAATTGACAAGGAATGTTTATTCCTCTATGACAACTGATCCCGCCTTTGATATTTTGGATATATGTGTTTGTCCTTCTCCCTATTTGTATTGTTTAAATATACTTTTTATACATATAAAGAATAAGATTTCTTTATATGTTTTCAAGAGGATGAAAACATAGTCCAAGAAATAAAAGTTTTTTTTTAAGTTTTCACGTATGTAGATCTTTCATGCGAAACTCCCTTTGATCATAAACTACCACCTATGTATTGCAACAAACAAAAAAACCCAGCCTTACCTTTTTTTGTCTTTTTATTAATAAACTAAATAAATATATAATGTCAAACAATTTATAAAACTGTTAACATTTATTAGTATTCAGAGACAAATCTGTTCTTTTATCATGTCCATTTTTCAGGAAAACTTTTCTAAGTATAACAAGGAAATAATTTTCAAGGCTTTCTGCAATATTTGCGCAATTAGCATTCATTGTTCATTTTTCTTTAAATGTTTGGCAAGTGTTGACATGCCATAAGTAATAACATCAAAATAGAATTCTTACTGGTTCCGTTAAAGTAAAGAAAAATTCTAACTTACTAAAATGTATCTAGTTCAAATAACTGAATGAAATTTGTATATTTAGGCTGTGGACTTTTTAAAAAGTTTAATGGAATAATTACATCAGCAATCTCGTAAAAAGTCATCATTTCGTACGTTTCACGATTGATACAATGAAATTTGTCGGAAAATATAATTTACCATCAAGTCAATTATTGACTGACTCTTTCCATACTGATATTAAAGCCATTTTACGTACTGAGTTGCCCACGAATTTTTTCGTTTTTTTCTATCATGACAAGGAGCACACGGCGCGTGTGACCGGTCGGTAAGGGATTCTCACTTCTTCATGGCACCTGTTCCCACCTCTGATGTTGTAGATGTCCGTGTTAGCTATGCTCCTTTTTTTATAATGTTTAATGGACATTTTAGCTTGAATGCTGTTCAAATACTGTTCGGAAAAATCCGTCGACAGTGAATTCGGTGTGTAAACAATGGCCTAAAATTAGTTTAAAAATTGGTTTGAAAAGACGTCAAACAACAAGTTTTGTTGGATATCTATTTCTTAATTCTGATATCCAGAAGCACAAAATCGATCTCGGCAATTATTATAGTTTGTCATGTTCAGACGATAGTATTTACAAAAGTAACAATATTGATCTCCAAGACCTCCTGTGCCTGGGCCATCTCCTGTACTTATGGCTGTAAAAGGTTAAAAAAAGAAATTTGATGCAGCCATATATCAAAAAAGACAACTTTCAAACGCACAAAACTTGATACAAGTTATTTTTCAGCACAGAAAGATTTCAAGCGTATAAAAATGTTCATTAAGAGTATACATGTATTTATAACATGTTCAATTGTTATTATTGAAAATTGTCCCTTCCTTTAATCGATCGTTAGAAGAAATTTTTGAAATAAAAATGTTATCATTCTGCTTCATTTTCATAAAAAAATTATGTGCTTTTGAGAAATTTACTTAAATCTGGACATAATGCTTTACATGTTTGTTGAGTGGTATCCTTCCTTTTACATTCATTGCAAACAGCAGATATAGTGACTGCTTGTGTTATATCCACCTGAGCGGTTATACCGGGTCTGTGATTTATTATAGGTTGAGTGGTAACTTTGCTACGTCGGTCATACCTGGTCGTCCCATGCCGTCCTGCGAATAACGTTTTGCGTGTATTGTCTTTTAAGAAAAATTGGCTTATCGATCTGGATAATACATATGATAAATTATTTCAAACATCGTTCGCTAATACGTATTTTTTGTTGACTAAATGAAATACGATATGTTTCTAAAGTCCTTAACATATGACATTTATGATTTTAATGGATTCAATTTCTTCTCAGAGGTTGTGTCTATTGAAACAAATTAAAAAAAATAAATCAAATTAGTAGAATAATTAGACGTATCAGTATTTTGCCACTTTAAACTATCCAAAAAATAGTGTTCTACAAATAACGACAATTTCAGGATAAGTTAGTATATAAAAAAGAAGTACATGTACGTATCTTATATGTATTGTCTCAAACCATTCTAAACAATATGAAGGACACGGAAGACGATGTACTGGAAATAACAGCAGTTTACTTAAAGAAATAAGATTCGCCCAGCAAATGTATAAAGGGATTCTATCCCAAGAAATAATAAAAAAAAGTGATACGATAATTTATAAAAATGGTTTTGAAAGCAGAATATTCTATTAAACGAATGAAATGCCAAAAAAATTTTAAATGGACGTTTCAACTCGCATTACATGTTGTCATTTCAAGTTCTATGTAATTGTTTTTAAGCTTAAAGAAAAAATATTGTGAAAAGTTTTTTTCAATCATGGAATCTAACAACACACTGTGATAATATTTTCTGTGTAAGGGATATAAACAATTGCATAAAACAAGTACCTCGATTAGAATTGGGTGCATTCTTAAGTTTTTGTTCTATCGTTCTGCTCCCTTCTTTTATGGCCCATGGTTTCCATAGCACCTGTTTTTTTAAAAAGTATTTTTCATAATATACATACAAGTAGTTCGCTCATAACTATCTTGTTTTAAATTTAATGTTGTTGAATTCCCATTATAAAGTAAAAGACACACAGTTTAAGACACATCTGCTTCATATTTAGATGTTTTAATGACTAAAGACAACAAAGGCTGACTAAATTGTATAACATACGAGATAATCTATTCCATCTTAAACTTTTCTTGCTTATGTAATAATAGGCCGATTTCAGCTGCATATGATCTTCATACAATTTTTTTAATATTAGTTTTACGTAAAAAGGTAAAGAAGTAGAATTTGTGACGAGTAAGATCTTACACTCAAGATAATCTTTATCAAATCTGTTAAAATTCTGATAAAAATTGTAAATTTTCTGAATTACTTTGAAAAAATGAAAACATATATGCCGACAAAATACCTTTCTTCTTGTCAAAATTGATGCTTTTATTTCTGTTATTCCTTGCCCTTTTCTTTTGTTGTCTTTCCTTATTTGTCCAAGAACATCTGATGTAACAATACAAACACAAACTAAACAAAATAATACAACTGACTTCATTATTCTACAAGGTTGCAAAATGTTTATCTAAAGAAATGGAAATACGTTTCCGTGAATCTTTTATTTATGAACAAAGATACGCCAATGAGGTTTCAAATTCTAGTCTTTAATTAATAAAACAGCTAACCATAGGTTATAGTAAATGTGTGGTTGTATTTACACCACACTTAGCTGATGTCATATTTTAACAAAATGAACAAAGATGAAAACCTTTGAGACTGAAGTGTACATGTACATAAGACAAATAATAAGAAACAGTTGTATGATGTTTGTAATAATCTAATAAAGAAATCAAATCGTTTGAAACATTAATTAGTTAAGTACCGGTATTAAAAATCACTTCATATTATAACATCAAGATAATTTTTACAGGCTTTATACATTTGTGTTTTTGGAAACATACAGAAACATGTTTTAAAACATTCTCTGACTAGTCTCTCGGGTTTATGAACCAACGAATCATAACATCAGTTTTGAATATACATCAGCAGCATACCTTTTGTAGCAGTGGTCAGAACGGTTTGCTCTAGAATTGCACAATTAAGAGTTGATTCTTAGGTCGCGGCTTTGAATCCCACTGTGGGACATAAACACGGGTTTTTAGTATAAACCGACATCTGGTACCGCAATAGGTGCTAGCAAACAGAACAATGAATGCATAAAAGCTGCAGCGTATTTGCAGCCCTCCACTGGCAATTGATGGAGTTAAAAAAATTAAACAAACAAATCGCTCAAATGAAAGCACAAAACAAAGTTAACTAAGAGAATAATTGATTGACTGTTTTAGAGGGTTTTAAGTTACAGTCGAGGCTTTTTACTCACAAGGAGCTGTCACCTTCTACTGGTGAAGGGCTTTGAATTCAAACCTAAAGGGTATTCTAGAGGTATTCAGGGCCATTGAGCGATTAAAGATCTTTTACTTCAACGTTCAAAGAACGATGATGTAATCAACAGTGCCCAATTTCTTACATATTTTAGATTGCATAGGCAACATTTATTCCTGTTTCATATCATAATTACTTGGATGAATTCAATGTTTGACAGATGCTGTTCATCCTTTACAACCAAGAAAATGTATTTGTAATGAGTTCGTTTGGATTTTGTGTAAGTCCGGAAGAAAAGAAACATTGTAGAATCAATTAAACAAAAATAAGTTTATTCTACAGATCAAACAAATGAATAAACAAACAAAAAAAAATAACACAAAAACCTTACAAACACCACACTCGCAGAAAGAAAAAAATATAAAACTTTATAAAGAATAAACTGACACGCCCAATGAACTTAAAGCTGCAAGTCAGAAATAAATATCAAAACAAAACTTGTTTAATGAAAACATTAACTTTTGTTTTAGACAATAATTAACTTCAAATTGTTTTTAAAAAAGTTCAAAATAGAATTTACACTTTCAATACTGTTCACTGTAATATAATTTTAGAAACATTTTTTATAAACCAAATTAGGAGTTTGTCTGACATCTGTTCCTATTTCATCACTAATATCAGCACCACTGGGCTGCCGTACAAATGGAAGCTGTTTTAGAATATTTTACATAGCCCCAAACCTCTGATCTAAGATGTTTAAATAAATAATGAAAGAACTGTTTCAGAGGATTATTATTCATTAAAAACTTTATTGATTTCAGGGTGGGCTCATATTTTAATCATGAGTAGAAAATGCTTAAATTTACTCATTTTCTTTAAAATTCAAGAACATTGCAGTTTCACAAAGTCTGTTTTCCAATACTTCTCTTAATCTTAGACTCTCCGATGAAAGTGTTTTATAGGAAATGAAAGCACTAAGTCTCTAATTTATTTGATGTTTAAAGTGCATGGGACAGGTCGTTTATTTCGTAGATGGACAGGGCAACTTTATGGTATTTGTAAATAAGTATATATCAAGTTTTGGACGTTTAAAATATTCAACATTAATTGATTGTCTTTAAGGAGAAGTAAAATACCCACTGATTTCGTGTCCATTATCCATCTCCCCTAAACTGTATTGTTTATATTTTAAGTACCGGGTATTTTTACTATTCAGTATCAAAATAGATTACTCTGAAATGGATTATATTATTTATTTAAACGCTGTGTATATATAAATAGAAAATATAATCATAAAACACTTAATCATACATAAAATTGATTAGAATAAAAACGGTATGATAAACGTGATGATCTTAATTTTTCTTTTGTCAAACTTTATTCTTACCTGCAGTGCGGCTTGTCTCTCCCAGTTGATTCGATGCGCAAGTTCATACTCCACATATAGGATCAATTTATAAAACGATACAAGCTATTAACCAACAAGTTTATGAAACAAGGATAACAACGGTCTCATTTGAAGTCACCCTTCAGTATCCCTATGGCGATACACTGACTTTATTAGAAAATTAATCTATCATTAGGACAAAAGCTGACTTTTTGTTTTTCATTCTAATTGTAAGGCCATTATTTACACACTAGATTGTCTACGGAATCTCCCATTCACATGATAATAGCAAAGATCCTTGCAAATTGACAAGACATGCTTATTCCTCCATGACATCTGATCCCGCCTCTGATATTTTGGATGTCTGTGTTTGTCCTTCTCCCTATTTGTATTGTTTAAATGTACTTTATATAAAATTTTTAATAAGATTTCTATATATATTTGCAAGGCTTTTTTTAGGTTTTGATCATAAAGTACAACTTATATATTACCAAAAAAAAAAAAAAAATAAATAAATAAAAAAAAAAAATAAAAAAACCAGCGTTATCTTTTTTAATTAATAAAGTGTATATATGTCAAATAATTCGATTTAATTGCTGAAAATTAAATCGCGTTATTAGAGAGGCCCATATTCGGGGTTATCGGGTCATTAGTGTTTCCCCGTTCTTTCAACTTTTGGTATTTTAGTCGAATCCTTAGGACTTCCTTTTCCGTTAGAGAATGAAGGGGAGCAGACATATCCTGCATCTCAAGAGAAAGATTTGTTTATTTATTTTAAATTGTGTTAAAAAATTCATGTTATGCATGAAATTTAAGGAGAATTTTTCTAGCAATCTTTATTTTCGTGTGTATTTGCATCATTACCTACATGACTTTTCGGATGTTTTTCGATTTTGAAAAACCACATGCGTAATATAAAACAGAAAAGTCGTAACTCTTTGTCAATATTTGAGCAAAATATAATAATAATGATTTTATTCACAAAAAATTGTCGAAGTCGTAACGCTGAGTCAATATTAAAAATAATAATAATTATAACTTTATTATTAGGCCAATTTCTATATTGTATTTCTTATTCCAAAGTCGGTAGTTTCAGAAAATGCCTAAAGTTAAACCCGCTGCCAAGCCGGTGAAGCGGAAATCAGCACCTACGAGCGGGCCTAAACCAAAAAGTGGGATCAGTCGAATCTACAGAAGTTTCGTCAGAGGAAAACATACCCTGTACAGACATTATTGGTACCATGGTTACTACATGTACAAGTGTGGTTACTTTTTCCACTAGTTCTAGCAATGAATCTGATTTCAATGTAGAGACAGCCAATCATGTTGATACAACAGGTAATGAGATCGATGGTATATGCGGTAGTTTGGGGAAAATTTTGAGGGCGAATACATTGATTTAGGACAGCTTCTGTCCAATCCGGTCCAGATGGTTGATAAGCAAACACTAACAGTCTCTAATGGTCAAGTAGTAATTGAACCGAAATGGGTTACGGTTAAAATTACAAATGTACGGTAGTGGACTGATGCATTTTTTATTTTCTCTTCAGTATATGCCACATGTGCAGTACACCCTACAGAAATTCTTTTTTGGCTTGTTTAAATAAATCCACACTGTTTGTGTAGGGGCTAGCAGATAGGCTAACAGATATAAGGTGGCAGTTTTATAATGGTCAATTTCAAATGAGAATTGCAAGAAATTCAAGTGTTTCATGAATATTTGATCAGGAGCTTTAGCTACTGTGCATGGTACCATCGTTTATTGGTCCGGTGCAAAACCTTTCGGGGGGGGGGGGGGTAAATGTTATGACTATAACAATTATCGGGTTTGTGTGAATTGCAGTGCCACTAATTACATAAATGTTTGAACTGTAGCGGGCCTCATCCATTTAAAAAGGCCCGTCTGCTAAATATCAATATGCTTCTAGAGATTTTTCAGGTCAAAGGTACCCATTATAATACAGGAACCAGAGACTTTCATCTAGACCACCCCAGCCTTGAGCATGATTCCCCAGTGCACCACAATCTGCAGGACCTAGGTTATTCCCCATTTAAAGTAGAAGTTTATGCAGCTTATTTACAAAACTGATTATAATAGGAAGAGTTCAGAAATTTTGCCAAAGGGGTTTTATGAAGGTTTCTAAATTCATGGTCAAAAGGGTAGTTACTAATTGTTTTAATTTAAAGTCAGCTAGGGATAATGAACTTGGAATTCAGAAAAAGTTTTTAAAATTATGCTGGAAGAGTTACTGGCCAATTCTATTCAAGACCCTTTCCCAGTCTTAGGCTTTAATTCTCCTGTAGGTTTAGTACCGAAAAAGGATGGATCATTTAAGTTGATTCATCATTTATCTTAACTGGAAAACTTGAGTGTTAATTCCTTTATTGATCCATCTTTCTCTTCAGTCAGTTACTCCTCATTAGATGTTGCAGTTAGGTTACTAAGTTTGTTGGGTAAGGGGGCCTTGAATTTGGAAAAATGGACCTCAAGTCTGCATTTAGGTTGCTTCCTGTTCACCCGGCAGATCTTTGAGCTTTTAGGATTTAAATAAATATTTTGTGGTGTCTTGTAGTCTTTTTGAGGAATTTTCATCATATTTGGAATGGATATTGAAGCAACAGTCTGGTCAGAAATCTGTTGTGCATTTCTTAGATGATTTTTGGTTTCCTGGTAGGGCAGGTAGGAATACATGTGATGAACTCATGTCATTCTTTGTGGGGCTATGTGAGCAGTTAGGTGTCCCCTCAATAGCTGATGATAAAACAGTGTGGCCTTCCACTCCCCTGACCTTTTTGGGTTTTGAGTTAGATTTATTTGAAACGATGTTAAGAATCCCAGTTGATAAGTAGAATAGTTTAAAGGATTTGATCAACAGTTTTATGTCAAGAAAGAAGGCTACCCTAAAGGAATTTAAGGCTCTTGCAGGTTTGTTGAATTTTTGTTTGCATGCCATTCTGTTAGGCCGGGCATTCACTAGGCATAATTTATGACATCATGCAAGGGTTCTGTAAACCACATCACTTTATCAGGGTTTCTGTGGTGGTTAAGGAGGACTTGGAAGTGTGGCTTACTTTTTTAGATTTGTTCAATGGCTGCTGTTACTTTCCACAAATTGACTGAGTTCATGGATTTCAGAATTAAGTTGTGGCACTTTTTTCAAGAATCATGGGTTGTTTTTTTTTTTAAGAGGCCAAGTGAATGGGTTGGTACTATAGTAATCAGGGACATAACATTTTTTAGCTTGTTCCAGTTCAAACAATAACAATATATAGTTCAAGGCTTGTCTTATTATCTTGTGGGTCACATCCGATTTGGCATCCTGATGAAAAATAGATAATAGATAATCTGTCATATTCTACGGTAAGAACATATCTGTCAGGTACCAGCTTTAAATGTAAACTTGATGGTATTTGAGACTTTGTTGTTATGAAAAAGATGGTGGTAGGCATGTCAAGACTGCAAAGTTCTGTAGATGCTAGATTGCCAATTATATCAAGAATTAGGTCGTTGGGGATCAAAAGCTTACAAGAGATAAATAAGAATACCAACCTCAAATTCATTGATGGCTAAAGACTCAATTGTTTGTATTACTTCTTAAACACCTAAAGCAGTATAGCTTGATAGGTTTTCTAATACCTTATGCTAAATCTTATTTTAAATATGATCATTTTTGTTTATATGTACATATTTATGGATCGTCAATATTATGGCATGATTTTGGGATTTCAACGACTGGTGCTGCCATGGTTGCTGAGAGTGGAAAATTCTGTGAAATTCTTTCAAAATGCTACTCCTCCTAAAGTTTTGGTCTTATTTCGAGATAACTTGGCACACAGATGGACTGTGCTACATGTAGGATACATGATTTTGTGCATCGGTTTTTATATTGATGAGTGGCAAGGATCATTTTTCTATTTATCGCTGTTTTAAAGTTTCATGTATCAACTGCTACTTTTCTCTTCCTTTGTTTTAAGTATAAACCAGTAGAGCTACAGTCTCGACAGAGACTTCTGGTTTTGGTTATGCTAGAAAAGGGGGGGGTCCAATTTTGGGTTATCCACATTGAAAGCTAATATCTGGTGGCAGGGAAAAGGCGGCATGAGATGGTGACATCTCCTCCCCAAAATCTAATGTCAAGGTATGAAGATCCCCCACAATGATAATCTGGTTCTACATTGCAATGGCAAAGACATTGGTCAAATTCCATTATGTGTTTTGCATTATAGCATAAATAATTCTTTTGATTCAATTTTAGTTCTGTTACCAAACAACAATTATTGAAAATTATTTGGTTTCAGATATTACATAGATTGATTTGGCATAATGCTAGGGACAACCATGCTCTTACGAAAGTCGGGTTTTGAGTTTATAGCTTTGTTGTTGGCCCATCAAGGGGGATATATTTGTTGCCCAGAGTTCACTTTGGTTGATCATACTCTTCTTTAAGAGGATGGAATGCACTTGTTAGAGCAAGGCAATGAAAAATTTTTATTGAAACTTTGAAGAAAGCATTGCATAATTTTGAAAATGTCAAGGGTGGGCTTTAATGGCCATGGCACTCTATTTCACTGAATAAATAATGTAAAGCACACTAAAATAGACACACAATAGATGTAGCTGATGTGATTGTTTTATACACATTTGTCTTGGTATGCAATGTTAATTTATTTGCTTTGCCATTCTTTAAAAAGGAGGGGTGGGGGGGGGGGGGGAGTTAATCATAAGCGTTCAGCAACCGCCATTGTGGCGGTGGACAAATAGTGGCCATTGGCGCAATCTTTAGCTGAACTTAAATAGGGTTATATTTAGTGAGCATCTGTTCCCAGGGCTCGCTACAACTGTACATAATTATTTTCAATATGTGTGAAATTTCAATTTGCTTATTTGTGTCACACTGGATGAAACATTTGCAATGTATTATTTGCCAGTAGGTTGCTTAACAGCTTCATTTGTATATTTGCCTATTTCATATTCATTTCTATATTTGCCTACTTCATGATGATTTTCATTTACATGTATTTGCCATTTCTTTGCCATTTGGGTTGTCAAAATCACCCAATGTATTTGCCCATTTCATGATGATTTTCATTTACATGTATTTGCCATTTGCCATTTGGGTTGCCAAAATCGCCCAATGTATTTGGGTCGGTAACCTTGGTTACGATTGTAACCAGTAACTAATTTAAATGTAATTTCCTGAAAATTGTAGTGCTGCCATGGCCGTTATTCGCCATTAAACTTTAAGAAATTTATATATGTGTGGTTTTCTCTAATAATTCGATTTAATTGCTGAAAATTAAATCGCATTATTAGAGAGGCCCATATTCGGGGTTATCGGGTCATTAGTGTTTCCCCGTTCTTTCAACTTTTGGTATTTTAGTCGAATCCTTAGGACTTCCTTTTCCGTTAGAGAATGAAGGGGAGCAGACATATCCTGCATCTCAAGAGAAAGATTTGTTTATTTATTTTAAATTGTGTTAAAAAATTCCCACCCACCAACACCCTATATGTAATGTATGAATATATGAAATAAATTGTCTGTTTGGTGTCAATTTTCTGCTGCCTGAATTTTTCTATTTTCAGCCTTGTACATCTCGTAGTTCAACACCTAACTTCGTCATGGCGCACTGCATGGCTGTAACCTCCGATGGCTGTTGATGTAACCAACTGTTGGCGTACCCGCACCAATGAAGTTACAACTCTCTTGATGCGTTCAAAAATCTGTCGTTGGACTTGAATAGTGATTTATATGTGAACCTTGTACATCTCGTAGTTCAACACCTAACTTCGTCATGGCGCACTGCATGGCTGTAACCTCCGATGGCTGTTGATGTACCAACTATTACCGTACCTGCACCAATGAAGTTACAATTCTCTAGATGCCTTCCAGAATCTGTCGGTGGACTTGAATAGTGATTAATATGTGTAGTGAGTATCTTGCCCCAGAGCTCACTGTTGTCTTACATGTGACTGATTTTCGTACGATTCCCGATTTGTATGTATAACTAATGGAATAAGACTATGCAATCTTTAGCTGAACTTAAATAGGGTTATATTTAGTGAGCATCTGTTCCCAGGGCTCGCTACAACTGTACATAATTATTTTCAATATGTGTGAAATTTCAATTTGCTTATTTGTGTCACACTGGATGAAACATTTGCAATGTATTATTTGCCAGTAGGTTGCTTAACAGCTTCATTTGTATATTTGCCTATTTCATATTCATTTCTATATTTGCCTACTTCATGATGATTTTCATTTACATGTATTTGCCATTTCTTTGCCATTTGGGTTGTCAAAATCACCCAATGTATTTGCCCATTTCATGATGATTTTCATTTACATGTATTTGCCATTTGCCATTTGGGTTGCCAAAATCGCCCAATGTATTTGGGTCGGTAACCTTGGTTACGATTGTAACCAGTAACTAATTTAAATGTAATTTCCTGAAAATTGTAGTGCTGCCATGGCCGTTATTCGCCATTAAACTTTAAGAAATTTATATATGTGTGGTTTTCTCTAATAATTTATAAAACTGTTAACATTTATTAGTATTCAGAAACAAATCTATGCTTTTATCATGTCCATTTTTCAAAACAATTTTTCTTATTATAACTAGGAAATAATTTTCAAGGCTTTCTGCAAAATTTGCGCAATTAGCATTCATTGTTCATTTTTCTTTAAATGTTTTGCAAATGTTGACATGCCATAAGTAATAACATCAAAATAGAATTATGTTCCTGGTTCCTGGTTCCTTTACAGTAAAAAAAATCCAAACTTACAAAATGTATCTAGTTCAAACAACTGAACTTGTTTATCAAGGCTAATGACTTTCCAAAAAAGTTTTGGGAAATATAAATCTGCAATCTCGTAAAAAGTTACAAATCAGCAATCTCGTAAAAAGTCATCATATCGTAAGTGCTATTGTCATACGTATCATTTCGTAAGTTTTTTTTTACAGTCGATTCAATGACCTTGTCAGCGAATACAATTTATCATCAAGTCAATTGCTGACTGAATTTTTCCAAACTGATTTTAAATCCATTTTTTACAAACTGAGTTGCCCACCGATTTCTCCGTTATTTTCCTATCATGATAAGGATCACACGGCGGATGTGACCGGTCGGCAGGGGATGCTCACTCCTCCATGGCACCTGATCCCACGTCTGATATTTTGGAGGTCCGTGTTTGCTCTGCTCCTATTTTATAATGTTTAATGGGCATTTGAGCTTGAATACTGTTCAAATACTATTAAAAAAAATCCGTCGACACTGAATTCAATGTGTAAACAATGGCCTAAAAATTATTTTAAGAATTTGTTTAAAAAGACGACAAGCAGCAATTGACTCAATGATAAATTGTATTTGCTGACAAGGTCATTATGTCGACCATAAACTTGTGAATTGGTGACTCTAAAGGAAACTGTTGATATCCTTGTTACATCAACTTGTTTGTCAGTAATTGAATTAAGTAAGAGAATGCTCTTTCGTATCAAATCAACTGAGAGATATACACCCCGTATGCAGGTGATGAAGGTATTTTTTTTTACACATACTGTATATTAAAAGAATATGACAAAAAAATTGGAATTTATTATTGAAGCAGAAAAATTCAAATCATGCGAAGAAGAAGTGACTAGCCAAATTCGTTTTTTAGAAAAAAAAAATTAATGTGATAATTCAAAATTAGATTTAGATGTTTGAATGGAAAAGTAGCATGTAACACGCTTTGATAAATTGATGAGAGTTCCTTATTAATCTACGTAAGCTCACAAGGAAGCCCGTGTGTGAACAGTCAATGGAGATGCTTTTTCGTCCTTTGCACCTGATCCCATCTTTGTTTTAGAGGTTATTGTTCGCTCTGCTTCTGATTCATTTTGTTCCAACTGACCTTTGAGCTTGATTACCAATTTTATCTCGATATTTTATCATCCCTTTCCGTTAGATTTTTGGTAAGCGATATTTCTTTAAGAATCTTACTGTGTATGTTTTTTCTAAATAATGTAAGTAAACCAGGTACGGTTTAACACAAAATAAGGCATGAGATATTTTCGAATATTTAATTTTTTCTGTGCAGCAAAGTCAAAAATCATGAAAGTATTTGGTCTAGTTCTGTCATTCTCCATGTAGAAACTTATACCAAAATTGGAAATCGTTCTTTCTATAAAATTTAATATTTATGTAACAAATATAATTGTTAACAAACTGATTCATGATATTCAAAAAATACAATTATCATGTTAGTCGTATTCAGATTTCTTAATCTTCTTTTACATATCTATTCTATCTGTAAAGTAAGATTAAATAAAATACTATTTTATTCAAAACTTCTCTTAGAATATTTTGGCTATTTAAAGTTTAAATAAAGGCAAGATAAAAGTTTTATAATTTTTATTTACAAATTTCTTTTCTCTTTATCTACCCACTGATTTATCAGTCCCTTGTTTTTGAGTGTCGGTGTTTGAATCTTTATCTTCCAGAGGCGCAAAATCGATTTCTGCATAGCTGATAATAGCTCCTCCTTGAGCGATAATATTCACAGAAGTAGCAGTATTGATCTCCGAGGAAGACTGCCCCTCTACCTGAGTCAGTTGTAGCTGAAATAGCAAGTAGACTTCGGTAAAACTTAATATTATTAGTTACACAGTCAGTTAGTGACCTAATACGGATTCATACAGGGTGTGAAATGGAAATCCGTATTGGGCGAGGCGAAGCCGAGTCCCAATACGGATTTCCATTTCACATCCTGTATGAATCCGTATTAGGTCACTAACTGACTGTGTAACGAATTTATCCCGCTGAAGACCTTTTTCAATATAAAAAAAAATATTTGTGCATATCATGATAATATTAGTTTTAATCCAATAACAATCAACATAAAATATTAGGGTTTATCTCATAAGGATAAACCAGGTTATTTAGTGCAGTAATAACTGGTGCATAATTTTAATGGGTAAAGGGCAGTAACTCTCATAAGTAAATCAATTGTAGTTTCCCTGTGGTGTACCCCTTTTTTCTATGTAGTGATTATGCGCAAACGTGTCTTTAATTTGGTGAGCATGCGCGTTCAACTCTTCCTTTTTCTTCATCAACCCTCAGAGCAGAACACACGAAATTTTAGTGTCCGACAAATTTTGTTTAAATCGACATCCATCATTGGCATCGATAAAATAAACTGGAAAGATGTTGCGAGCTCCCAGAAAATCAAAGTCTAAGAGTCCTTATGCCCGTCCTAGCGGTCAAGCTGCTGCAGCCGTTTCCACTGCGGTCAGGACCATGCCACGAACCCAGGCGGCCATTACACGGACTAGGCCTCAAGGTACTACAGCCACGTCAACCGTTTCGACGGCGACGCTTCCCCAGGTTGCTACTATAGCCACCGGTATTCCGGTTAACAGCGTGATGGAACAAGCCATACAGACCCAGCAGGACATGGTTAACGAACAGGGGACTGGGAGCACAGCTAACCCAGGTACAATACACACAGTTGATTCTTTGGCTTTGCCTTTACCATTTATAAGTACAGCTTCCCCCCTAGGTGTTCACGTATCGCAAAGTTTGAAAGAAAAAATATATAACAATGAATTTGTTCATCTCAACAAACTATTATTTCACGACCCCACGTCTACACCTACAAATCAAATAGTTTTTGAGGATGGTGCATTCCAACTTAAACCCAAAACTAAAGAACAAAAAATTGTGAACATATCTCAGTGGGTGGATGCTTTTTTGATTTATGGATCAATTTATTTAGTTAAGCATCCTACTGAAGCATTGTCTTTGTTCAGGTATATGGCAACGATAAAGAGGGGGGCAGATAATATGTATCAGGGTTGGCAAGAATATGACATTCAGTTTCGATTAAAAAAGTCATTCAACTCGGCAATCAGTTGGGCATCTGTGGATGCAGAACTCTGGTTAGTTTATATGCAACCACCAAGTATTAAAGCAGGTGGGAATCAGTTGAGAAATCCTCAAACTAGCTTAGCACCTTCTCGTTTAAAATGCTATAGTTTTAATTTTCAAGGGGTGTGTAATAAATACATGTGTAATTATTTACACCAATGTATTAAATGCAATGGCCTACATCCTATGAAAACTTGTATCAAAGGTAGCCAGTTTCAAACAGCTTCTGTAAATAACAATACTAACAATAATTATTACAGGAACAGTGGAAACCAGTTCCAGAAGGGACAAAAACACTAGTTTACAGGTGGCAAATGACCTTCAGCTCCAGTTATGGGATTTGGGCAGATCACCTATAAATGTATCGCTTTTAGAACAGTTGTTACAAAATTACCCAGACTGTGAGAATGCCAAATGTTTGGCTAATGGTTTTAAATTTGGTTTTAAGTTAAATTACATTGGAGATAGAAAACGGATAGAATATAAAAACATGCTATCGACCCAACAATTTGTAAATGAGATTCTGGTCAAGATAGACAAAGAAATAGAGCTTGGGAGGGTGTTAGGCCCTTTTCCTTACCCTCCCATTTCTTATTTACGTTGTAACCCCATAGGTATCCTTCCAAAGAAACAAGGGGGTTGGCGCATGATCACCAATTTATCTTATCCTATAGGGGATAGTGTAAATGATTATATAGATTCAGAGTTGTGTTCAGTCAATTATTCGACTTTTGATGATGCATTAAAAGTCATTTCGGCCAAAGGTGAGGGGGCATTAATGGCTAAAATGGATGTTTCAAATGCATTTAGGTTGTTACCTATATGTCCTCAAGATTTTTGTTTATTAGGTTTCAAAATTGCAGACTTGTACTACATAGACAAATGTTTGCCCATGGGCTGTTCAATATCTTGCTCATTGTTTGAAAAGTTTTCAACTTTCCTTCATTGGGAAGTGCAGCATAGATCAAATATTGAGAGTATAGTTCACTATTTAGATGATTTTTTATTTGTTGGAGAGAAATCGACAGATGAATGTCAAATATTAATGTGTTGTTTTCAAGAACTCTGTCAAGGGCTGGGGGTTCCATTAGCTGTAGAGAAAACTGAGGGTCCAACTACTCGTATTTGTTTTTTGGGCTTAGGCATTGACACTATAACTCAAACGATTTTTATTCCAGAGGACAAAAGAAGGGAATTGTTGTTAAAGATCCAAAATGTTTTAAGTTGTAAAAAGGTAACGCTCAAGCAGTTACAATCCCTCGTAGGAGCATTGGCCTTTGTAGTTAAGGCATTACCAGCAGGAAGGGCTTTTTCTCGTAGGATTTATGGGGCAATGGAGGGAGTTAAAAAATCGTTTCATTTCATTAGAATAACAAGTGAAATAAGAATGGATTTGCAGATGTGGGTTCAATTTTTGCTCAACTTTAATGGTACCACCCCATTTCCTTCGCAACATTGGCATGACAGTGAATTTTTAGAATTTTTTACAGATAGTTCAGGAGCATATGGCTGTGGGGTAGTATTTGGAAATCATTGGTCTTGTTTATCCTGGCCTACATACTGGTCCTCAGACATAATTAGGGATATAACATTATTGGAGCTGGTTCCCATAGTATTGGGTATTAGTATTTGGTCATCTAAACTTAAAAACCTTAAATTGTTGCTTCATGTAGACAATATGGCTCTAGTGCAGATTATCAATCAAAAAACGTCAAAAAACAAAAGAGTCATGGTGCTGCTACGTTTCTTAGTTCTGAAAACTCTTCAATTTAATATTCAAATTAAAGCGCAACATATAATGGGTGTGAAGAATAATGTGGCTGATGCAATTTCTCGATTTCAGTGGTCCAGGTTCAGGCAGCTAGCCCCTTTGGCAGATCGATTTCCCTCTTCGGTACCAGTGCAATTTTGGGAAATTATGGAGAAACTATAAACAAACTTTTACATGATAGCATATCAGAAAATACCGGTAAAGTTTATAAACAAGGACTACAGAGTTTTTATAATTTTAGAGTCAGTTGTGAATTTCAGCAAACCTGGCCTCCACCTCTGGACCATATTTTAAATTTCATAGCTTATTTGTCTGAGCAGGGATGTTCTTTTTCTACAGTCAAATGCTACATGTCAGGGATAAGTTTTCTAATTAATTTAAATGGTTGGAACAATCCGTTAGAGACCTTTTTGGTGAAGAAGTTGATGGCAGGGTACAAAAAGTCATCTTTGTCTTGTGATATGCGTCGCCCAATCACATTGGCATTGTTGCACAGATTATTAGGCGCAGTTCCGCATTTGGCATTCTCAACGTATGAAGCAGTATTATTTCAGTCATCTTTTGCCTTAGCATTCTTTGCATTGTTAAGAGTAAGTGAAGTTATAGATTTAAGAAGGGATGATATTCAGATTTTAGGCAGTGGAATATCAGTGTTTATAAAAAGTTCAAAAACGGACCAATTAGGCTCTGGGGCTTCAGTTTGGGTACCTAACACGTCAGAATCAGTACTGCTAGTGAATTTGTTGAAGGAGTTTTCCCTGCTGTCTAGCAAAATTGATAGGGATGTGTATTTTGCCCACTTTAACTCAAAGCCATTGACACAGTTTCAGTTTTCTAGCATGTTACATAAATCCTTAAAATTTCTTGATATCAAAACTTCGAATTACAAAACCCACTCATTTCGCATTGGGGGTGCTACTCACTTGTATTTGGAAGGGTTGTCTGAAAGTGAAATTCAACAAAAGGGTAGATGGAAATCAACAGCATATAAATCATACATTCGTCCTTTAAATACTTAGATGCAAGTGTTAAGGTTATTGATAGAAATTTTGTAAAATATTTGATTGAAATTGATGCATTGATTTTCTACAGGGGTCATTTGGATTATAGGATCTTCAATTGTACATTGGGCACATAGCTATGCAGTCAAATCTAATCAGTCAGACCTGGGATTAGGCCAAACGAAAATATTGTGGCATGGAATTCGCGGAATGGTATGGGAGCAATTAAACCCAACATTAGACTTTTTATTAGTTAGTAACAGAACTCCAGATATCATTATTATTCACTGTGGGGGGAACAACATTGGTCAACAGCATAACACTTTAAGGGGTATACAAATGATGATAAAGGCTAATTTAGCAAAAATAAAAGAAAGATTACCAAATTGCATTATTATTTGGTCTCATATCTTGCAACGTAGAAACTGGTCAAATGTAGTAGCTAACACTGAAGGAGAAAAATGTAGGCGGAGAATTAATAGTTCAGTAGCATCTTTTGTATTAAATAAATTAAACGGAGCAGCTATTAAGTACCCAGATATAACTGCAAATCAAAGGAATTTATTCCGTTCAGATGGTGTTCACATGACAGATTTAGGCAATGATTTGTTTATTAATACTGTAAAGGGTGCATTGAAACGATTTTTATCTTGTAAATTTCAGAACAGGACCTTTCCTTGAAATGGTTGTGCTTGTCATGGTTAGGTGTATATCGATATGTGTTGTCATATAATTTGATTGAATTATTTTCAATTTGAACATGAGCGCATCTGTCGCAATTTTTATTATTTTGAATTGGATCATGAGCGCATCTGACGCAATTTTATCATGAGCGCATCTGACGCAATTTTATCATGAGCGCATCTGACGCAAATTTATCATGAGCGCATCTGACGCAACTTTATATCAAATTTTGAATGTTGGTGAATTTCACCTCTTTGTGCGCATTTTGTGCAAAGACTTTGATTGTTTTGAATATTTCAATCTGTTGAAGGGGCAAAATTGCCGCCTTGTTTTATGGCGGATGGTACATTCGACTTTGTCATATGTACCATTTGGCATAATTTTGCATAGAATACCGTCTCCGGGGGGTACTGTTGTCTCCAGGCTCCTTGGATCCAGGTGGTATTTCTATTGCTGTCTCATCTATATTTATGCTGCCATATAATTGTAATCGGCGCATATATTTGTGAATTACATATTAAAATGTACATATAATAAAAGGTCATGACAAGCACGCCAAACATAATTAAATGTTGTTTTTATTTCTAATGTGGTTGAGGCCAGGTTTATAAGGATGGTGTTTTATAAAAAAGTTTAAGGTTAAAAAGGGTGGCTTTATAGTCACTAAATAATAGGGTTTATCTCATAAGGATAAACCAGGTTATTTAGTGCAGTAATAACTGGTGCATAATTTTAATGGGTAAAGGGCAGTAACTCTCATAAGTAAATCAATTGTAGTTTCCCTGTGGTGTACCCCTTTTTTCTATGTCGTGATCATGCGCAAACTTGTCTTTAATTTGGTGAGCATGCGCGTTTAACTCTTCCTTTTTCTTCATCAACCCTCAGAGCAGAACACACGAAATCCCCCCCACCCACCTCCAGAAAAAATTAAAATTTTAAGTTATAAATTCTGAGAATGGTGTCTTCTGTTTTTTCTCAATTTTTTTTTTCAGCGTCATGACCAGGACTTGTTAACAAGGGATGTCAGTGTCAGCGCCGATTGGTAGCCATGTGACAAACTTTTCGTCTGATGGACAGTTTTTGCTTTTGATGGACTTGGCATAATTTTGCATAGAATACCGTCTCCGGGGGGTACTGTTGTCTCCAGGCTCCTTGGATCCAGGTGGTATTTCTATTGCTTTCTCATCTATATTTATGCTGCCATATAATTGTAATCGGCGCATATATTTGTGAATTACATATTAAAATGTACATATAATAAAAGGTCATGACAAGCACGCCAAACATAATTAAATGTTGTTTTTATTTCTAATGTGGTTGAGGCCAGGTTTATAAGGATGGTGTTTTATAAAAAGTTTAAGGTTAAAAAGGGTGGCTTTATAGTCACTAAATAACGTTACGGTTACAAGAAAGTTAACTAAACTACCCACGTTTACCGTTTCTTAGCCGCCATTTTTATTTACAATAACAACGCTTCGAACGGAATCGCGTGCCCGATTTTCATATTACGCCTTGACGGAGACGTAATATGGAAATGGAGACGTAATACGGAAAATTTCAGGGCGTCATGTGATTACCTTTTATCCAATCAGTAATCGACAAATTTGTCTGAAGCGGGATAAAGCAAGTTATGTTGCACAAGACATGATATTTAGATAAGTGTTCATTTCACAAAATAGCACACTGAAAAAATTGAATAGAAAAAAGTCCTATCATTAGAATTCTGTGTTTAAGACTTTTACTGGTCAAAATTTTAAATCTGTTTGAATTAATCTACAGCGGAAAAACTGATCATTTATTTGCACATGGAGTTTGTCACAGTCTCAATATCATCAAGAATAGTTTATTTTATTGATGATTCAATGTGTATAACAGTATTGTCTCTAACCCTAAACTTAGTCCCAATCATCTACATCCAATTTTAAAGTCAGTAATGTCTATTAATAAATTGTGTTATTTTAAAACTTATGTAGCGTGTTTAATAATTCTGACAAAATTTAGGACAAATAAATTCATAATGATTCGTTTATAGTCTGAAATACTTTGACATTGTGCAAGTAGCCACCTATCATATTATTCAAAACATATTTGTATGGTTCATAGAAATAAAAGGTCGACATTGGATGCTCATTCCTCCATGGCACCTGATCCCACCTCCAATATTTTGGAGGTCTGTGTTTGATCTCATGCTATTTTGTATTGTTTTATGGACTTGTACACTGTTCGTTATTTCCAAATGTTTAACGCTTTCTGTGGAGAGATTCAATTTTTTTTTTAAAATAATCGGCACTGTTATTTCAGGCAAACAAATTGCAATTTTGAACAATTCTGTAAGTTCTTTGAAATTTTATCCAAAAATTTTCCATGGAGTGTCTAAAAAGTTTAGGGCTTGAAAATGACGTCAAAGTCAATGAGGGTTTCTTTTGCCAACATTTTATAAAGTTTATGCACTGGAAAAACTGGTAGAGACTTAAAAAAGTGAAAAGGGCTACAGAGAGGAAATGTTAAAGGCTACATAGAACGAAAATAAATCCAGAGTACTTGTTTTTAAATAAAAAAAAAAAAGATTCAGAGAGATGGGGGATGCACAGATTACGTCTTTTTGTAGTCAGTGTTTTAAAAGTCAGTCTCGACGAAAAGTGACGTTGATCATGTGTGATAGATATATAAATTGAACTTCGACAAGCAAAATATGCTTGCATAATCAAGTGAGGATCTTTCCCTATATGCAGTATTAAATGCAATAAAAGCAGCTGTTAATGAAATCAAATAACAATGACTTTTTTTCGTTTTAGAATTATTTGGCAACTTATCAATGTATCAAGCTAACATTTTCAATTTTTCTCTAACTACTGTTGTTTGATGTTCAATATAACGTTTTAAAGCAAAGACTATATAGTATTAATTCTGTAGAATTGAACCCTCGTATAGCATACTGGTAATCATAATAAATTTACCTAAATTCGGACATAAAGCTTTGCAGGTTTGAAAAGTTGGATCTTTCCTTTTACATTCTTTACACACTGCGGGTAGAATGATGGTTTCCATTACATCCTGGGGGGACAATGTCGATTCCTGATTTTCTTTGGGATTATGATTATTTTTTCTGTGTCTTCTATTATGTTTTCTCCCTCTTCTCTGTCTTCGATCTGTGATATAGCAATTATTACGGTAAACATGCTTACTTTAGCGGCATACACATTTTATTATATATCGTACTCTTTTTTAAGATTGTTTATGTACACAGCACAAATATGTTAAAATTAATCATTATAACGTCATTGAAAAATACCTTATATGTAATTTATGATTGCATTTAATTTAAGAAAAGATAAATCTGAATTCATAATTATCTTATTTTATTGCCCAAAAATTCAAAAAAAAAATTATCTATAATGATAGAAACACTGTAAAATCAATTTTTTGAAGGTCAAAATTTCGTAATTTGAAGAAAAAAAAAATTCGGGTCCGCGGGGATTTTTCATGGATGAAGAATTGTTGAATATAAATATCTGTAAAAAAGAACTAATTTCATTGAGAACATAAACTGGTCGGCCTCTTCATACCTCAAGACACATGAAAATAACCACCCCCTTCAAACATTAGTGATTTCACAGCATACAATGCAATTTAATTTTTGGCAGTAGGCAATTTGTTTCAGCTGAAATGAAGTTCTTGCAAAAAAAGTTACAATACTTTCAATAGAAAAATGGTCTGAATGGATAAATCTTGCATAGCAGACCTATTATTGTATTCATATGACACAGAAGTTGTGCAAAATCTAATGTGTGAAAAGAAGAATACACTTGCTGTGGCCTTCAACTCGACATTGATATGCTAGTATATCGACGATGCATTGTCTATTAAACATGGTAGTTTCCATTCTTATGTCGGTACGATATATCCTGGTAAACTTGATATGAAAGATACCACAAAGTCTGACACATCTGTTTCATATTTGAATATTTCACTTGAAAAAGATGTTAATGGTAATCTAACAACCAAACTCCATGATATACATAATGACTTTAACTTTTCTATCGTCGACTTTCCTTACTTATGCAGAATATTCATCATCTGCAAATGGAGTTTATTTATCTCAGTTGATTCTCAGTTGATTCGATATGCAACAGCATACTCTACGTATGAACAATTTCTGAAACGAGGTAAATTATTGAGAAACAAGTTGATGAAACAAGAATATCAACCGACTTATTTAAAGTCATCATTTCGTAAGTTCTATGGTCGATACGATGACCTTGTCAGTAAATACAATTTATCATTGAATCAAATGCTGACTAACGTTTTTCAGACTAATTATCAGACCATTATTTAAACACTGAATTAACGACGGATTTTCCCGTTATTTTCCGATCATGACGAGGAGCACACGGCGGGTGTGACCGGTCAGCAGGGGATGCTAACACCTCCATGGCACCTGATCCAACCTCTGATGATTTGGATGTCCGTGTTTGCTCAGCCCCTGTTTTTTATTGTATTGTTTTGATGGGCTTTTGAACTTGAATACTGTTATCTCCATATGTTTCATTTCTTAAGAGACCATCAAGAGAACACATTATATTGTTCATTGGAAATTCTATCAGATAAAGACTTCTTAAAGATTACAGAAAACCTTCCACAGATGTAAATGTAATCACCATGCCTTATATCTCTCTGCCTTTCCTTTGATTGACTCTATCTTAATTAAAACAACTGCACGTGGTTTAAAAAATAACATATAAATAAGAATTTCATAAGAAGAAATAAACTGTTTACACTTAATAATTAGATACAGTTATATAAGAGAGTAGCGAGTGTTAAATATTCAAAACATTTTAGACATATCAGGCCGTAAAATTGACAATTTAGTAGTTCTTAATATATAAGAAGGAGACAATGGACTCTTTGTTTTCTATTGTTCATTAATTATATTCTTAAATGTGAAATATGACAGAACACATTCTGTTAAAGAGCATTTTCTTCGTTTATTCGACAAATAGGTATGATTTTCATGTACAAAACAGAAGATTCATATATAAAGTATAACATTTTAGAGAAAAAGAACAGTACTCGAGTTCAAAAATGTCTTTTGAAATAATACAAATCAGGAGTAGATCAAACACGTATCTATCAAACTTCAGATATGGGATCAGATGTCATGAATGAGTGTGCATTCCCTGCCGACAAGTCACACTAATGCCGTTAGCTCATTGTCATGATCGGGAAATAACAATAACAAGAGGCCCGGGGGCCACATCGCTTACCTGAGCAGATTGGCTAGGAAAAAAGCACAAATCAGATAAGAATTGAAAAGTTTACGGGGGGAGGGGGGCTTCAATTTTAATACTACTTGAGAATGCCTTCATATCAATACAGCATATAACTTTGTTGTTCTTGAAAAAAAAGCTTTTTAAAGATTTTTTTTACATTTTGTAAAATGTACAGTGTATATATTACTTCGTTATAATTTGAAATTGATTCCCTGTTGTTTCCCTCCCTACCCCAAAGGGTCATGATTTGAACAAATTTAAATCTTCAATACATGAAGATGCTTTCATGTCAATATGACTAAAAAAAGGTTTTCTGTTCTTGGGATTTTCCCTTTATTTTCCTATCGTAAAACTTTAATCCACCATTGAGACTCCACCCTACCCCTGGGGCTTATGATTTGAACAAACTAAAATCTGCACTACCTGAGGATGCTTCCATATAAATATCACGAATCATGGCTTTGCTATTCTTGAGAAGAACATTTTTATAAAAATATATTTCAATGTAAAACTTGGATCCCCCATTGTGGCCCCATCCTAACCCTGGGGGTTATGATCTGAACAAACTAAATCTACACTACCTGAGGATGTTTCCAAATAAATATCACTAATCATGGCTTTGCAGTACTTGAGAAGAAGATTTTAAAAGATTTCCCAACATATTCCTATGTAAAACTTTCATTGGCCATTGTGCCCCCACCCTACCCCCAGGGTCATGATTTGAACAAAATTGATCCTACACTAACTGAGGATGATTTCACATGAGTTTCATCTTTCCTGTCTCAATGGTTCTTGAGAAGAAGTTTTTTCCTTTATATTCTTTTGTAAATTTTTGATCGGCCATTGTGGCTCTACCTTTCCCCGCGGGTCATGATTTGAACAAACTTGAATCTACACTACCTGAGATTGAATTCACATGAATTTCATCTTTCCTGACTTTCCTGTCTCAATGGTTCTTGAGAAGAAGATTTTTAAAGGTTTTTCCTATATATTCCTATGTAAAATTTTGATCGGCCATTATAGCCCCACTCTACCCTCGGGGGTCATGATTTGAACAAACTTAAATCTACACTACCTGAAAAATGATTTCAAATGAGTTTCACTTTTTCTGTCTCAATGGTTCTCGAGAAGAGGATTTTAAAAGATTTTTCCTATATATTCCTATGCAAAAATTTGATCAGCCATTGTGGCCCCACCCTACCCCCAGGGGTCAAGATTTGAACAAATTTGAATCTACACTACCTGAGGATGATTTCACGTGAGTTTCATCTTTCTCGGCCCAGTGGTTCTTGAGAAGATTTTTTTAAAAATGCTAGTAATTTTTCACAAAATCATAATTATCTCCCCTTGGAAGTGGGCGTGGCCCTTCAATTGAACAAACTTGGATCCCCTTCACCTAAGGATACTTTGAGGCAAGTTTGGTTGAAATTGGCCCCGTGGTTCTTGAGAAGAAGATGAAAATGTAAAAGGTTTACAACGACAACGACGACAGACGACGGACAAACGTTGATCAGAAAAACTCACTTGAGCCTTCGGCTCAGGTGAGCTAAAAACTGTTAGCAATTCAGTGTGTAGATAATGAACTAACGACTGTTAAAAGACATCATTGAAAATTTGACTTAAGGATAGGTTGTATTTGCTGACAAGGTCATTATTTGGACTATAAAACAAATGATGTGACGACTTAAAACCAGACTGTTTTGTCAACTTTGTTTATACGTTGATGCTCTTGCGTATCGAATCAACTGAGAGATTTGCTGATAAGGATATATTGCTACATAAGTAAGGGAAGTTGACGATTGAAAAGTTAAGGTCATCACGTTTATCACTTAAATTAAAAACTTTAGCTAGCCTTTAACGTGTTTTTCTAGCAAAATATCTAAATTTGAAACAGTATAATCAGACTTACTTAAGATCACTGGGAAATATAGTGTTTCGGCATTAGTATGATATTTCTTGTGAATTAATAATATTCATCGATTTATCTAAATGACATTGGAAACCATAGCAATTGTTGACTTTTCATGTATAAAAGGTTGATGAATGAATTTTACATCATTTGAATAATAGTGACCAGATTTTCTCCGAATTTTTTTAATTCCCAGGGGTATCAATTTCGCCCAATCATTAGCAAACCTATTTTTATATACAAAAAAACCCCAACAACATACCTCTATTAGTTTTCAGATTCCTTCCATTATGTCTTCTTTGCAATGTTCTAGTGATTTGACCTACGGATTAGCACAAAAGAAAACATATATCTGACAATGATTTGCGTTTATTTTATGAAGTAACAATAAATATTCAAAGATTTTATTTAAAAAGACATTTAGGGCAGCTGAAGGATTTAATTACAAATCCTGCTACCAGATTTGCATTTTAATAATTGACTGTTATTTTTAGGAATTTTAAAAACAAAAAGTAAACAGGTTTGGCATAACAGGCTCATACACCTGACTCTATTACAAAACATGCATTATTATGATAGTTAAATGAGGAAATGAATAAACAAAAATGATATTACTACCTCTCGTTCGGCCAGAACTGACGAGTGGATGTCTGTCTCTTCTGTTTTCTCTTCTTTTTTGACCAAGGACAACGGAGGTTACAACAAACAAATATAATAAACAAAATAATGCATCTGAACGCATTGTTTAACAAATTTGCTTTAATTAAAGATGTCAGTGTGTGAATCTTTTTCAGGACAGGGGTCCACCAATGAAAATTGAGATCCTTTAACTTTATTAATCATGTACACAGACAGCTTGACAAAGGTCGTAGTAAATCAGGCTTCTGCGTTACCAATCAAATATAGATGATGTATTTCCTTACGAACAAAAAAATCTTTCGGAAGGTTATTATTAAGTCTGTCATTTTTATCATCCGATCTAGATTAAATGTAGGGAAGAAAGACAGCTTAAAGATATCTTCAATATTAAAAGATTTACAAAAATTACTTTAGTGTGATTTAATATTGAAAACTTATGAGAGGAATATTTTGTAAGATAGAGAAAAAAAAATTCATCTTCATATGCTTATAATTCTTTATATCTTTAATAGAGGATACGATTGTATGCCAATTTTACATTAAACTAGTGCTAATTGTAACGGGGACCGTTACAGATGTTCCCCAAACGCTCCCCAACTCTCTTTTTGTGCCATATTACCTGTAAGCTTCATTAAATAAGACAAACTCTATGTTTTTGAGACTTTAACATTTACCTGGAAGTGTACGAAGTTCATTCAAATTTTAGCATTGCATGCGTAATAAAAATACGCTCATTCAAGTGTATTTTTGATTTTGTTCATTTCACGTGCACGCACGTGCATATATGAGCACGGTGACCATACCTTCTTGTAGAAGATCATTACATCTATCTATGTTATAAATCCCAACCCATATGGTTGAAAACCAAGGGCGTTATACCTGTTAAAAGTTTCAGCCAATTAGATTGCAGCGCACGTACACGCACGTGCGCATGTGCATGGTGACCATACCTTTCTTGTAGTAATCCATTATATCTATCTATGTTCCAAATCCCATCCTGTTTGGTTGGAAACCAAGGGAGTTATAGCTGTTTAAAGTTTCAGCCAATCAGATTGCAGCGCACGTACATGCACGTGTATTCATGTGCATGGTGACCATACCTTCTTGTAGTAGTTCATAATATCTATCTATATTTCAAATCCCATCGTCTTTGGTTGAAATCCAAATGAGTTATAGCTATTTAAAGTTTCAGCCAATCAGATTGCAGCGCACGTGCATGCACGTGTTTTCATGATAATTGCTATATATCATATTGTAGGATATCCTAATGCATGGCTATAATCAAAATTTCAAAGCATTTCGTCAAAAGACAAAAAAGATATTGAGATTTTTGTTTCAGCCAATCACAGTGCAGCGCATGTGCATGCGCGTGAGATCTTGCTATTTTGACCATGTCATATTGTCTATACTTCTAATGTATCCTTATATTATGAGTTCTAAAGCATTTCATCAAAAATTTAAAAAGTTACATCCATATCAATGTAATCGGTCATTTATCATGTTGCACGTGTGCGCTCTTGCAAGCACGTGCGCGCAAAATGACCTTCGTTCCGCAAATCTACATTACATGTCTACTGACCCTAAAAACATTTCACCTTAGTCTGATGTGTAGTTTACAAGATCACTCGCGGACAAAATTTTCCCAGGAAGAAAAATAAGAATAATAATAATAAAAAACAGAGTAAAAACAATATGTTCCCCAACTTCGTTTGGGGAACATAATAACACATTGAAAGCAAAACAAGGTCGTTTATAGGAATAAATAGAAACCATGGATACTTTTAATTTTTTTTTTTATTTTAAACGTGTGAGTTCTGTACTTCCTGTTAAAAAATTAATTTTTTTTTTGCCATATAAAACTTAATTGTTTGAAATAAAGAGCATTTATCATAACGAACAGGATGACTAATTGTCTTTTGTTTGCTCTAGAAAATTGTAACATAAACATAAAAGGCCACTTTCATGTTACTCTAAGTCAAGGAAATTCTTTAGCATAATTATGTACGACAAAAATTAACCTAAATTAGATTCTGCGATGTTAAATGTCTAAAGTTTATATTTATATATTTAAGTTGAAAATGCAGCTGAAAAATAAGACATTTTTCAAATATATTTTGTCTGGGAATCTTAATATAGAGATTATACATCTTCCGAGACAGGATCCTTATTTAAGCATTTATTATAACGCACGTAGCGTATATATTGGGTATACCAGAGACCTTCCTACATGTACGTTGTTCCAAGTAAAGGTTGTTACGTCTTTTTAATCATTTAAGATATTTGTAAACAAAAGAAATATGGAGATATGAAACATTATCGAATACTGGGAATACTGGGGAAAATCCGGAGACAATTATGTGTGTAAAAGTAGTTTAACAATTTGAAAAATGTAAGTCAGCATTTGACTTGATAATAGATTTATTTGCTAAAATGAACAATGTTTTGACCAAAATATTTGTGGAATGCTGACTATGTCGATATTCTTGTTTCATAAACTGTTTGTTAATAGCTTTCTTCCGTACAAATGTTCGTACGTAGATAATGTTTTTGCGTATCAACTAAGAGACCCAATTTTTTAAAAAAAAAAGTTTTTTTGTACAAAAGTAAGAGAACTTGACGATTGAAAAGCTGAAGTACGGAAGCGTTAATGAGTCCACATTTGTTGTATTATAACTTTGTATATAGTCTTATATTTTATCGTCTTATATAAAGTATAATAACTGCTTGTTTATAGACATATTTTAAATTGTATTTAAATGTTTGTACATAATAAAAGGCAACTTCTTTTGTTCAATAGATTTTATTGCTAGATCTACGTTTTATCGACTGAAATATTATTAATTTCCGTTAAGTGTGCAGTTTTGCATTATGTCACAGCCTATGATGACAGCTGCGCTCTGACATGGTAAATACTACACGCCTCCTAACCACAAGCTTTAATTTATGACTGGGATATTCTGCATTTGCCCCCTTGGGGTAGCTAAATCTATAGTTTGGTGTTTTCCCTGGGCGTGGTTGCTGATTTGGTGATTGAAAACGAAACCGCTGTTTTTGTACGGGGGAAGCGTGGGCTAGATTATGAGGACAAGTGGGCATTGGGTGGTCGGATGAACATCTGATACAGCGGTGTGCGTAAATGAAATAGACTTTACTACATTCACCCTTAAAGTTAAAATTAAAACACAGGCCATTTGACGGTTTAACTGTTTTGGGGGAATAATAAGCGGAGAAGTTACGTATCAACATCCAAAGTTCATTGTCGATTTGCACCCATGCCATAGAACTATTTCTTGCCTTCCTAAGCCTAATTTGCTCGTCGTGCAATTTTCAGCCGGTGGGAGATCTATAAGAACCCAGTCTAACCGTGTGCATATATTTAAGTAAACCAAGTGATTGATCGGGGTGAGCTTCGACGTAAATACTAGTAAAGACAAGGAACGCGTCGGTCCATTTCCCGATATTACTGATTTTTCCACTTTTCCCACTTCGTAAGACAAGTTCCCCATCCACTAAGTTTATCTTGTTCTTCTTATCCCTTTCATCTGACCTTTCCAATAGCATGCCCAGATCTATATACTCCCCATTTTGATTTTCTTTTCACGTGTTTTTGAAGGGATGGTGTATCCCAATGTATCAGTAACGCTTAAAATAGGCGAAGGTAAGTAAACGGAGGTACCTACTGAGCTGATATTGAAGCGTTAATGTCTTTCTCAATGCTGCGGCTGGTACTAATGTCTTTTTCTCCTCCCTTTTGTTGGGCTTTGGTGGCATCAGTTTCTTCTTGGTGGACTTTTTGGCGGCTGTTAATACAGTTCTAGTACACTTGCGCGTGGGTATCTCTCCGAAAAGTATTTGAGAAATTTGGAAAAAATTCTAAAATGTTAGCAGCAAACTCAGGCAAGGGATAAGTTTCAAATCAAATTCAACGTAAACCCTACAATTAACCATAAAGTCCTAAGGCAGCAGACCTCTTTTTAAAATATTTCTAAAAGTTAGCAGCACTCAAAACGTGTATCTTGGAAGATAGCTGATAATTGACTGTTCCAATGCTTTTCGCAGATTTTCGAGAAGAAGCAAGAAAAATGTGTTTTTGAATTAACTTCGCGAGGGTGGAAATTTTAAGGAGTCTTCATTTCACTCGGGATTCAGTGAAAGCTTATAAAATGTAAACCATGTATTTGCTATCGTTTAAGATTGTAGGCTGAAACAAATTCAAAAATATTTGAAAAAGGGAGATGGAGAAACATCTACAGTTAGATTATAAGCATTGTCATTGGGGGTTATGTTATTGTACACATCACCACTTTCGAAAAGGGGATCTCATATATTATATCATGGTTCACTGCTTATATCTTTTGAGTTCAGTAGGGCGATTGTAAATCGCTTACATGAAGCGAAAATAGAAAGTAAAAGTATTATAAAAGTAACACTGGCTATATACTCCTCTGCGGTATACATAGGATCTGACACCTGAACGCGAACCTCCACAGTCTTGAAACTCCCCAAGCCCCCCCTCTTCAAAAAATATAAAAGATGAACCATAATACAATGTATTAGATAAAAAAACAACTACTAGTAGAAGCACATCAGATCTAATGCCTTATTGCTTAAAAAGTATAAAACAATTTGTGACTTCAGTCAATATATATAAGCTTAGTCACAAAGATAAAAGGAGGAAAGAGTAATGTCAGCCAAATTCAAAATATGGCCAGAAAAAAACAGAGATTTTAATAAACCAACCGCGAGTATTCTTCTTTATTTTGGGGATATATTAGAGGATCTCTACTGTAGTCAGGTTTTTGAAAAAAAAGGCTGTATGAGGGGCATAAAATACTCTTGCCTCCCCATCTTCAAAAGCGGTGAGGTATCGGTACAATACCCCCTCCCCCTATGAATCTAACTGTTGATGTCTCTCCATCCCTTTTTCGAAAATAATTTTAAAAATCATTTCAGCCTATTATCGTAAACGAAAGCTAATAAATGGTGCATAAACTTTCACTGAATCCCGAGTGTGTGAAGATTCATTAGACTTCTCGCCCCATCGAAGTTAATTCAAAACACTACTTTCTGACTTCTTTCTCGCAAATATTTATATATTTATATCGATGAAAGATATGGAGATAATGAAGAATATTCAATTATTAAGATAAAAAGTTCATAAAACAATATAAAACAGCAGCAAAGCAAATATGGACCTTCAAAACATCAGAGATGGGATCAGATGCCGTGGAGAAGTGAATATCCCCTGCCGATATAACTATATGCTTATTTTCATATTGATATTATTAAATATTCAAAGTTTTGACACAAGTGTACTAGTGTAGAATCCTTTACGCTTCCGTAAAAGCTTTTTCTACAGATGGTTAATTCTTTGAATAAATATTGTTTTATTTAAATGCAAAAATAAGAACTTTGGCATAGAAGTCCTTCATTGCTGGGTTGTTACTAAATTTAATTACAAAACTTTAATAGATTTTGATCGAAAAAATTATTTTAAAAAGATATTTTAGGGGCACCCCTTACCCTAGGGTTGAAATTCGCAAAATACCTACAAAATGAAAATATCTATTTCTGTGATATTCCTTTATATTTATGAATTTATGAACTATGTTTGCATATGTATTTCAGAAAAATAGACCACAGCCGCTCACCATGAAAATTTTTAGTGTCCTGCTTCGAATCCACCTATTGGCACACTTTTATTTATTTTTTTTTTCAAACTTTTCACCCGTAAAAAACAATCTAATTTTTTAACGGACTTTTGCTTTTATTTTTTTTACTTGCATTTAAAAAAATGCTTTTGATATAAAACGCATTTATGGAAATGCAGATAATAAAATCTCTAAGTAAACGCAATCAACCAAGGTTTGAATCCACATTCAGCCGATCACGGCGCGAGCATGCTACCAACTGGGCTACTTGACGGTTTATTCAGGAAAAAATAACGCTCTTTTTAAGCTACAAGATTATTGATGCAATCATAGAAATACAGTGGTACACAAATTAGGATTTGTACTTGAAGAATTGCGAATATGATTAGTTCAAAAGAGTGATGTAATGATTAAGGCCCTAAAAATGTTCGTGGTTGCTTTTTGTCCCTTTATTCTTCAGTTGTCTGAATCATTATACTTCTTTTGCACATTTGCCCCTCATACAAATCTATTGAAAATTATGCTGTGATATTGTATTGTAGAAATAGTGGAATGTTAAGTCAAAGGGAGATGAATCCGTCATCGCTATTTTACTCCTTGTTAGCTGTTTAATCGCAAACATAAATTACACCTATGTTTTTCTCAAACCTGAAAAATAAACAAATTCGTGTAGAAATGTTTATTGATCAAATGAACAACAAATCTCTTAACATCATCTACTTTCCCCTAAATGACACTTAATGCATGTATAAACTTGCAACAGTTTAGTACTAGTATTCTTAGGAGAAATTATAATTCATAGATGATTTAGGTGATTTTTTGATTACTCATTGAGAAGTTAATTTATAAAGAAAAGAAATTTTTCGCACTGATAAAATGTTATATATACATATTTTTAATTTTCGGTTCAATTTGAGCAATTCTTAGAGGAAAAAACCACATTTCATTTTCAGACAAATTGAAAAGACCATTTGAAATTAACATATTAAAGAAGCAAATCCTAAGAATTAAACTATCTCCATTATTTAGAATAAAATGTGTAGATAAAGATCTGTTATTTAGCTCAGAAGATTATTGAACAATACAGAATCAGAGCAAACATGTCCCTCTAAAACACTAGTACTTTTATTAAAAAGGCAGGTTTTTATGATCTTATCAAGCCTAATCTTTAATGTGGCGCATTTCGGAAATAAAAAAAAGATGATAAAAGTAATTATGCTCAAAAAACCGATAAGCAATGCAAAAATAGGAGTAGAGCAAAACTGGACCCTCATATGCCTTTACCTTTGCCTTTAGCTGGGATCGGGTGCAAAGAAGGAGTCAATTAGATGTACAGATGATAAGATATATAATATTCGGAAAAAATTCTAAGCTTCTGTGACAGAACGCTAAGGAGCATGTCACGTGACTGCCTATATCACGTGATCCACACATGGGGAGACTGATTGCAGATGTGCATTAGAATTGGAGAGGACTACTTTAAAAAGTTTTCAATACTGAAACCCTATATCATTTCTTTTTCGGAAGGTATTCAATTAGTTCGCGAACTTTTGATCACCCCTCCCCTGGAGAAAGGAAATTCCGCCCCTTCATTAAAAATCCACTAGGTAATATTTCTTTCGCTTTTTTTTTCAAGACTTATGAATAAACTGTAATTTTCTCATTATTTTAGCAAGTATTAGTTATCGCAAAATGCCTCTTAAACTTATAATTCGTGATCGGACGGTTGATCATGATATTTAACATTGATTTCAACACATTAAAAATAAAAGTGTGACTTTATTTGTGTGTTGCTTTTCAAGAAATATCGTGCTAATTAATTCCTCGCGTGCATTTAGGAATCTGCAGAAATTCACCATGGATTAGACCTGCAATAGTTGTTTATGGGCGTTTTAACTGAATAGATTATGTTGGTTTGTTGGATAGGTACCTGTTATTTGAAATGACATTTTATCTTGCTATATGATTTATACTAAATGGCTACTACATGTTAAACTATTTTATTTAATGTTTGGACTGGTAAAGCTGATGGTGGTAATGAAGCCATGGAATTTACCTATTTTGACAGATGCTTCCTAAAGAGTGCTCTGGAAACCTTTTGCAAAACACACACAAAGTGTCTCTGATAATACATGTAACTTTTTGTTCACCACCTAAATACAATAGATTTTATAGGTAAAAAAATTTGATAAAGACAAATACTTTAATATAGAAACCCATGATTGCCAAAATGCTTAGTATTGATGCAGGGGATGAAAAGATCATATGTCTTTCTTACCTCCACTTGGATTGCCTTTCTCAATTTGCTTCTGTTGTACTTTCCTCCTTGCTCTTGTTGAAGGCCTTAGTTTGTGCAATCTCGTGATTTTTCATTCAAAGGCTGCCGAAAAAACTTATAGAACTTCGTTACGTCAATGGCAATATATTTTTTGTCGATGATTATTTTATTTAGGGATCCCGGAAGCTTTTTTTTGATACGAGTATTTAATTTTCGAAGCAGATGTTGTTGCAAAATATTTCCTGGAAAGTAAATACAGAAATAATGATTTACGGATAGTTAATGTAAAGTTTAAATTTGGAAGAAATTATTTCATTGGTAGATTGTCAGTTGATAAAATATATATAAATACGTAATTGTTGATTTCATTTACTTTCTGGAGACCATTTAGACAAACATGCATGTAAAATTATTTGTTGTAAATTTAGTCGTTAAGCTGAGTAGTTCAGACCAGAGAATCAAGCAATGTTATTGGATTTTATTTTGTTCAACGTTCATCTTTTAGAAACTTGTGTTAATATATCTGCCAAAGTTATTTAAAGAAAAAAAAATTCCCTGAGAAATCTCAGATAGAATATTTTTAGTGTGCCATTAAAATAAAGTGAAAACTGAGTTGAAAATTTAGAATTCATGCAATAAAGGTAGAAAGCATAAACATGATCATGAGTAGACTTTTTAATTTTAATATTATTGAGACATTTATATTTAAGCCTGTTATCAATTCTACATGCACAAAGGTGTGACAAGGGAAAAGTTTGTTTACAAGAAGCAAAAGCGTGTAAATTAATCTTTCGTCTAGATTGAATAATAAATGTAACAGGTCATGGAAAAGTAAGACATAATCAAAATAACATTTTGTATATATTTTTGTTCTTATCCTTATTTGAATTGATTTGTAAACATATCTTTCTCGGTCCTTGCTATGGGAGAACGAGAATTAAGTTGGCAGACCAAATATGACATTTTCAGTGAAAATCAAGCTGAATTTTTTTCTAAGTTTTCTCTAAACGAAGGTGATTAATGTTTCATTTTTAGTCAGGCAGTATTTATATCCAAATTTACAAGTTGATGACAAATTTTCGGTGGAAAACACGACAACATTATACAAGCCCCGTACGTTTTATTTACCTCCCAACTCTTTCTAATTATCTCTCCGAGAGATAAAAGCGCTTGTGCTTGTTTTGAATTTACTGCAATCCAACAAACATTTTAAATAAAGCTAGTTTATTAGTTGTATATACAATTATAAGGGTTGGAAGGTGGATAAAATACAAAAATTGGTAAAAAAAAAATGTGTCTAACATTAGGGAATGAAGGGTAGTTGATTGACTAATGTTGGAAATTGCACATTTTGTACATTACGGGATCTCTAGCGTTATGGTCATAGACAAATACGTATATAAAACCATAACTCTGCAGTTCTTCGGCTAGTCCTAACCCTGCTTGATGGAAAGCATAAATTGTATGTTAAATTAAAAATATTGTTTTCATTTGGATTTATAGGAAATTGCCTCCGTTCATCAATTTGTATTGCTGGAATACGCCCCCCCCCCAAAAAAAAATGACCCATGGCATAACTATAGTCAGTGAAACATAAAAGGTATGTATCCCTTGCCAGGTTAGAAGAAATTCTACTTAAGAGGTAATTTCGCGCCTTTCCATCCCCACACCCCACACACCCCAAAATACCGCGTAATATTTGTTTGCTTTAGTTAAGACTAATGAACAAAACGCATCATCAAATGTAAGCTACATTTGTTGTATTTTCAAATAGAAATGTATATAAATGTAAAAAAAAAGAAAAAAAGAACCCAACAAACGATTGTTATGAAAATGTATTTTGCTTCATAAAAGTAAAACTAATTAGCAACTAAAATTGGTGTCTTTAATGATTGGACTTGTAACGTGGGTGACGATACTGAGGCCATGGAACATAATGATTTTAGACATTGGCTCGTGGACTGGTACTCTGGAAACTGTTTGCAAAACGCACACAGCGTATCCCCAAGGATAACTTTTTGTTCGCCACCTAAAAAAGGAGTTTTATAGATATAAATTTTATAAAGGACATATGGATACCAATGATCGTCTTGATGCTTTGTATTGATGCTGAGAATAAAAAAAATCATACGTCTTCCTTACCTCCAATTGGATTTCCTTTTTCAATTTGCTTTTGTTGAGTTACTTTACTCTTTGCTTGTGTTGAAGGCATGCAATAGTTCGAGCAATCTCGTGATTTCTCATATGCAGGCTGCTGACAGAACGTGCAGAACTTCGTTTCGTCAATGGCAATATCTTTCTTGTCGACGATTCTTTTATTTAGAGATCCCGGAAGTACATCGTTAGGTATATGTAATTTGTGAAGCAGTTTGTTTTGCAAAAGACTTCCTGAAAAGTGAACACAGAAATAATGATTTACAGATAGCTAATTGTAGAGATTAAATGTGGAAGACATTAATTCATTAAATAGATGACCAGTTACTGCAATATACATTTATCATGTGTATATGATTGCATATTTTTTTTTTATCTAATTGATCCTCGGTAATGAATTAAGTCAAGCATGCACTTTACATTATTAATCATGAATTTAGTCATGAAGTTGAAGAGTTTAAATTTAAGAATAAAGCAATGTTATTGAATTTTATTTCAATCAATGTACTTCCTTTTCGCAATTTGTGTATATTTATCTGACAATGTCTTTAAAAGAAAAAAACATTACCGAGAATTCCTAGATTAAATCCATTTCGTTTGTGCCATATAATTGACAACAGAAGATAATCAAGCCATTATTTGTATGATCCAACCTTTTTGCACACAGATTGCTTTTTTAAACAGGCCCCAGGATCATGAAACAAACTTTGAGTTAAGTGAAATTTTTAATCGCTTATAAAATATTTATTAATTATGGAATTTATTTCTTAACTAGCACTCAAAACACCTCAGTGAAAGAATATTGAAAAATATTTTGATTTTGGCCTGATTGACTTCTACAACATTTTATTATAAAATAAAGATTTTGGCTTAAGCTAAAGATGTTTCAAGATCCCGGGGCCAGAATTTAAAATTTAGAATAATTATTATTGTAATGTATAACATGAATGTAGAAAGCATTTTCATGATTAGACTTTTTTCGTATGTAAACATTCGTTTCGTATTAAAATATTGTATATTCAACTATTTATGAAGTTGTGTTTGTGAATCTAATACCAATGAGACATTTATCTAAGTTTGCTATCTATTATACATGCACAGAGGTTTGACAAGTAAGAAGTTTGTTTACAAACATGAAAAGCATATAAATAACCCTTTCGTCAAAATAGAATAATAAGTGTAACAGGTCAAGTCAAATAAAACATATGAAGATAACGTACAGTAGTCAAAACAATACAAAACAGGAGCAGAGCAAACAAAATAAAATATAGCAAAAATCCATAATCAATAATATACATATTTTTGTTTTTACTTAATACAATTAATTTCTTAAGCATACCTGTCTCTGTCTGTGCTAAGGGAATAAGAGAAGTTGGAAGACCAAAGATAACATTTTCAGTGAAAATCAAACTTAAACAAATTAAATATCCGTACATTTCCGTTTTCTTTCGAAATGAAGGTGATTAATGGTTCTTTTTCAGTCAGGCGGTATTTATATCCAAAATTACCAGTTGATGACAAATCCTCGGTGGAAAACACGATGACAACAAGATTTATATATACCTTTAGCCAAACAAATATGACAAATATTTTTGTGTAATTTATATTTAATATCAATCACTACTTCATTCCAGTAGTCAAACTTTTAAATACTTGATTTTAGTAGTAAGTAAGAACGATACTTTATATCATAAATATAAGGTTTAAGTTATTTCTTTCTCGACTTTTATTATATTCCCCGCTTGAAAAGCGGGAGGGTATATAGTAATCGGGATGTCCGTCCTTCCGTCTGTTTGTTACGCTTTGGGGTACCTATCTCATCTGCAACTCTTCTTTTACCACTGAATGTACTTTAATGAGACTTTCACAGAATCTTTGTTATATATTGCCATCGTGCATCTTCTATTTTACTTTTTGACCGGACACATAATTTGGGCTTTTCAAGAGCAAAACATTGACACTGCCATTTCTTCTATAATTTTGAAGGGTACCTATCTCTTATCCGCAAATAAAATAAAATCTAGTAATATTTTCACATATTTTTTTATCACATGATGTCATTTTGCACCTCCTATTTTACTTTTTGATCTGACACTTATTTCGGGTCTCCATGAGCAAAACAGGGACTTTGTCATTATATAATCATATATGGGAGGCTAATTGCTCACAGTACCTCTAGTTTTTACTTCATTTGATTGAATGTTAAAATACCAATGCCAGTGCAACTCACATATAAAACATTAAAGACAAAATAAAAAATACATTTCCAATCAGAAAACAGACATTATCTCAGAACTTTGCAACTTGATACAGTTACATAAAATAAAAGATGATAAATATAACCAGAGGATAACCCATATATCTTAAAGAACTCTTACCCAATGGGTCGTTAGATTTTAGATCGACTAGTCACAAACACATACAAATTACACGAGAAAATTTAGACATGACACGTTTCAGGAACATTGCATAATCCTATGAATTTGAGTTTTTCTAAAATTACTCTCTTTTAGCTTAAAAATAAACACTTTTAAAATGTTTAAAAAAAGAATCAGACAAGACAATGCATATCATGCATTGCTATCTTAAAGACGTTTTAATTTTAATTTTTTTTTATTTCTTCACCTCTTTAATCTCAATCTCAGCAAATCTTGAGAAACAGTTCTTCAAGAACATTGCCCATTTCTATGCAACAATACCTGTCTCTATTTGTGCATAAAGAGTGCGCTGTCAACAGCATATAAATAATCTAAAGACATCAGTAACACCACTAAACATATCATTATTAAGAGTTAAATTGTCTTAAATACTATCTGAAGGAAACTGCAGTTTGTGAAATTAAAATCTGACATAATGTTGTTGACATGCATTTGTTGCTGTCTACGAGACAGATAAGATTTGAACAACTATTTAACTAAAACACCAAAAAATTCACTTAACAAATAAATCTTGCCCTGGCATATTTTGTTGGATAATCTCATACCATACAAATCTTAATATTTTCCTGACTATGTTTTCAAATATTTAAGTTTATAAACCTATTATGGAAAAGGATTAATTACATCGATCGGCATGGATTAGATCTACAAAGCACGTTGAAACATTGATATTTTATTTGACATATTTATTTAGATATTATGAAACTAAGTCAATAACAAAATATTTACTTATTCTTTCCTATCAAGTAAATAGCCATTTTCTTTTCTTTTATATCTTCACTAATCTTAAAGGGGCATGTACGCAGCTTTTTTTTTTTTTTTTTTTTTACAAATATTTTACTAGGGTTTTTCTATTGACCATTAAAAATTTGAACGTCAGATTTCGAGATACAACGCAGATTTATAGCTCCAAACCTTTGTTATGTAAACAAGGTCCGTATCAAGTTTTTGTTTACATAGGTTAATATACTAATATGTGTTCGTTCAGAACAGATGATTTCATTAAAGAAGTTAATTCTAAATACGTACTGACTGTTTTTAGTGATTTGCTGAATTTCATTTTGTTATAAATATGATATATTCTATATGTAAACAAAAACAAGACACGAGCCATATTTCATTATGAGGAACTTTATATTCTGTATCTCGTTTGTTAATCAACAAATGTTGTTTAAATTTTTGTTAATTATTAGAAGATGCCTTTGTTAGGAATTGTAAACATTAAGACTGGTTTAGAAAATTCAGTTCAAACTTGCCATGTCCTTTTAAAGCAGAAACTACTTGAAAAAGTTTTATAAATGACTAAGTTATCAATACCAGAAATTCTGTTTAGAATGGGAATGTAAAAAAGCGCATGAGCATAAACGAACGTGTGTTATGAAAATCACAATATTTTTGATGAAGCTTGCTTATCACATAATTCTTAATAATATCAGAGGTAATTATTGTGAGTGAAATGTGAAGACTCATAGTCATAGAAATAGTCATTTTGAAACACAAATAAATAAAAACAATAATCTTCAGTCTAATTCATCAACTAACTTACTCAAGCGTAGTTTCTGTAAACACTTATTTTGTCTGAAGAAACAAAGTTGTCGTATCATAATGTCTGATTTCACTGTTGAAGTATAAAATTTAATTAATTAGCACGTACTTTAATTTGATGTTGACTTTTGTAAGTACCCAATATCATTTTATTGTGAAGGATTACTTTATGAGTTTGAACGAGTCGGTATTGACACGTTTAGAAACGAAAAAAAAATATTTATCTTGCTTGTACTGTTGTAATAAATGTTAAGCTATGAAATACCGATTTCAAGTAAACAGATATATTTACATTTATAAAACATGGATCAAGAGGTAAAAAAAAGGTTAACCTCGTGGTACGGAGGGAAGTCCATTATTCAAATTTGAACAGCTTGTTTTAGAATTTATTAAATCATTTCGCAATCGCATATAATCAAAATTCTTGAATTCTTGTCAGCATTTCCCTCTCATTAAAGCTTTAATTTACTTTTTAAAGTTCATTTAGTTTACGATACGAAAAATTATCAATAGAGTTTCCTAGAAAATAAAACGAAATATAAATATCAACAATCTCGATTAAAGTCATCATTTTTTTATTGTGAGTACAATGACCGTGTCAGCAAAAACAGTCTATCATTAATTCAAATGCTGACGTTTTGCACACCAGTTGTAAGGACATTATTTACACTGATATGTATACGGATTTTCCCATTTTCCGTTTCCATGATCCTCACAAAGAGCTCGCTTCGGTTGGAACCGGTAACCAGGGAATGCTCACTCCTCCAATTAACTTTGAGCTTAAAAACAGTTTGTAATCTCCATGTTTCACTCTTTCTGTTTGAAAAAAATGGAAGATGTATGCACATGCATAGTAGCTGACTGAAATGATATATCTTAAAGTTCCTGTTCTTTTTTCGACATTTATTACCCAGACTTATAACAATGAAATGGTGGTGATATGAAGGGCGGCTACCTGGGATGAGGCCCTGACTAAGCCCTGACTAAGCTCCCTCTAATACAATACCAAATAATAAGCTCTACAGCACCACTCAGGGTGCTTTATTTTTTAAATACAAGCATAATTATTCATCTAATGCAATGACTAGATGTTTTAAATAAAATATATTAATGAAAACTTAGTACTTAGCTAGGTCATTGAATCATAACAATAACGTGTAAAACATGTAAAGAAAGATCACTCTTTTTATTTTAAACACATTGGCAATAAAGGACAAGAAAGAAGCGCTTTTTGTTTCCATTTTTTACAGAATGTTTTTGTGTAAAATTTTTTTTTTACTTCAGTGACGATTAAATGTAATCCATGAAATGAACAAAATAATTATATCACAATTCACACCTGAAATATGCTTTCAAGACTCAATGTTTGTCTTATTTCGATATTCTATGCCGTATGCTCCTTGTAAGGATTGAGAAAACAGAAAAAAAATCTGCAGAAAATTTAATAATCTAACAACTTGAATGAATAAAAAAAGTTCAACAACATTTGATTCAATTTTAGATTGCATTTTGTTGCATTTGGTTGATGACTTTAAACTAAACTGGTTACAATCTTCTTTTATGAACTTATTTGTAAATAGATATTATTGTTATTATGTTATATTCCCGCTTGAAAACTGTACGGATATACAGGGATCGGGTTGTCCATCATCCGTCTGTACGTCCGTCCATTCCATCCGTCTGTCTGTTACGCTTTGGGGTACCCTTATCTTCTCCTATACCACTAAGTAAAATCTAATATTAAGACTTTCACAGAATCCTTGATTTATACTGCCAAAATGTACCTCTTATTTAAAGTTTTGATCAGACACATATTTTGGGTTTTCCAGAGAAAAACATTGACACTGCTAATTCTTTTTCTATAATATTGAAGGGTATCCACCTTTTATCTGCAACTCCTCCTATACTACTGACAAAATTCAATGATACTTTCACATTGTTTAATAATATAATGACATTGTGAACCTTCTATTTTACTTTTTGATTTAACTCTCATTTTTGGTCTCCTAGAGCAAAACCTGAACTTGCCATAAAAATCATATACGAGGCGGGGGGTATCATTTAGTGAGCTCATTGCTCTTTGATGTTATATTATGTAGAGCATGTCTTTGGTATGGAATCGTCTGAGATACATTAACCCTAAATGTAGGTTATATGAGAGATAGCAACCCAAGTTATAATAAATAACCTGGGCTGTGGCAGTTCACGCTTTATAAACCTGCAGGAAAAACTTTCAGGGATATGTCCGGTCGAAATATATATATATATATTATTTGATAATAGATATATCAATAACAATTAGTTTCTCCTTCTCGTGTATACGATTTTTAATTAAGCTTTATATTGATAAAAAAAAAATAAGTATGTTAATAACGTGGCGCAGTTGGAATCGATAAAAGTCCGACAGATCTTTGGTACACCTGGTCCGTAAACCAAATAGATATTGTCGATCCGAAAATCAGACACAGCTCTGGCCCCAAGACCATAAACTGAGAAAAGACTTAAGTCAAAATTTCAAATCGATATA